TCTTTTTTTCCAAAGTAATTATCGTTATTTTTGTGAAAAAAAAAGCTTTCAGACTGAAGCTCCCCCCCCAAAATTAAATCCTGGATCCGCTAGTGTGTCACACTATTCTGTTCATTTACTCATAAATTATTCATGCTATGATAAAAAACTGACTCTTATGTCATATGTCATATATGTCGTAAAGTTACGGAATAGACTTAATCAATAACAAATAATAATAATGATATTAATTTAACTTTTATTTTGTTAAATATCCCAATTGGTGAATCATGTATTATCTTTTAGTTTCTCACGACTCAAAGCACAAAGCCATAGATAGCCAGGTCAAGCTATCTCTGATAGCTTACAAATAATTATCTAGAATGTACTGACGGGCCAGAAGACCCATTATCAAGACTTAAGGAACAATAACCGATTTCAGCCAAAGGGCACTTTCTCACAGACCTCATCTTAATTATATTAACGGTCGATAACTTCCTTTGCCGTCCTCTTCCGACTTCCCTTCACCCCCTTGCTATTCTTGGGTATATAACCCCCATGCTCCTCGGACCAAACCACTCATGTAGTTACATTCTTGAAGTCACACTCTTCACTGTAGGAGACCTGGAGTGAACTCATGTAGTTAAACCGTTATCCATAGTATATTACTGTGTATTTTAGATTCCATTTGTAACAGAGATTATGAATAAAAGCATTACTTATGTAGTCTTCACTGCCTCCGATTCTTTAACTGTAAGACAAAAACTCTTACAGTTTGATAGGGACGTTCTACCTCATCCTCCGTATTCCCCAGACCTTTCTCCATCCGATTATTACTTGTCGCTTTCGTTAGAAAATTATCTCCGTGATAAATGTCACAAATCCGAAAGCGAAATAAAAACGCCCCTCGATGAATATTTGCGAGTAAGTCTCGACAATTTTGGAAAAACGATACAATGAGACTTCCTGAGAGATGAAAGAAGGTAATGGAGCATAACACAGTAAATTAACCTTATACAATAAATAAATAAATATAAAAGAAGAAACCTATGGGCCCTTCTAATATTATATTCTCCTTAAGATAAAAACATAAATACATTTTCATAAAAAAAAGATATATATTAATTTTTTTTAAATATAAATAGTTATTAAAGTTTATAACTACATTAACTAACTATACAAGAAGTAAATGTGAATTGGTATAAAGACGTGAACAACATCCAAAACTAGTAGTTTTGGATGGGCCTAAAGTTTATTATGGAAGGGTTAGGCTAAATCGGGAACATTAAGATCGTCATGGATAATTTTATTTTGTTAAAGTAGGGACCATTGAAGATCTTCCAAAGGATTTTGGACGGTAAGAATTGGATATGTGAGGAATTTGATGGTTTAGTGGAGCCCCAAAGCTCTATTCCATAAATCCATATAAGCCTTGTTACAGTCATGTAAATGACTGTTTTCCAATTAATTGGAAGGTTGGAACAATTTCTTGTCGTTTCAGTTTTGTTGAAGGATTCAAAGTAAGACGTCCCGTTCATAAAATAAATTATATTTTTGTATTTTACTAAATAAAACTTGAAACGTTTTGGTTATTTCGATGAAAAATAATGGAACATCTAAATCCTTCTTTTACCTATCAAAGTTTTGATGTGAAAATGAAGATTAAAGAGAATATAAAGCTAACTCATAACATAAAGTAAGCTCAGTCACAAAACAAACAGTAGTGGGTCCAGGATTTAATTTGGGGAAGACATTTTTTTTGTATTATTATTATTATTATTGTAATTACTCTGAAAGAAAAAGAAAGAAACTATATATAATGATGTTTAAGTGGTCCATGAAGGTCTGCAAAGAAAAGAAACTAAAAAAAAAAGGAACAATAATGCTTTCAGGGATAAATTTGTTAATATTTTTCTCGACACCTATCTACATTTAGTAACTGAAATACATTTGTTATAATTTAAAAAGGATACATATTTTGACTATTTAAGTGCTTCACCTCGAATGCCTTTCCCACCATGGTGGATTCGCCCGTGTAAATAACGCTAGGTTTTCATGAAAATATTATAGGATATTAATTTCTTAGCGTGAGAGTAAATCGAGTAAATGAAAACTTATCCAAAGCAGTTGTATGCTTATTTGTAGCATTTGTAAGCCTGAAGGGTAAAGCTGAGCTAAGAAAACAAACAACTATTTCAATAGAAGACATGGATAATAGGATAGAGTTAGAACAAACTTATTTTCATCGCTATTATCATCCAGTGATCTTTCTATAAAAAGGATGTTCTATAAAAAGCACATGGTCAGTGAGATGTTTCTTAAGAAGCCAGTGTGTTATCAACAAGTATGGCTCCAGAATAAGCGACAACAGCTTAACATATTTATTCCTAGGTAAAATATAATATCATCAAGATAATTTACTATATACTTTTCCAAGAATGTAACAATTTAAATTAATAAATGATTAGCTAGTCCCACTGGAAAATATTCCTTCAGTTTAATAGTTAGACAATAAATGATAGCCCTCTCTGAACTTATACCAATCTATCATTGTACTGGCTCAAGACTTATTCATTTGGTACAGACAGGGGTGACCAGAAGGGGGTTTCATGGCGCAAGCTGTGCTATCAAAATTTTTGAGCAGGGCATATTTTGAATTTTTTAGGGAGGCAAATTTGTACGGGGTTATAAATTTTCAGATTTATAATAACTGACCTGTGTAATTCCATAAATCCATATAAGCCTTGTTACAGTCATGTAAACGACTGTTTTCTAATTAATTAGAAGGTTGGAACAATTCCTTGTCGTTTCAGTTTTGTATTAGGATTCAAAGTAAGACGTCCCATTCATAAAAAAAATTATATTTTTTATTTTACTAAATAATACTTGAAACATCTGCTCATTTCCATTTGTACATTCGTTAGTACATTTATTACAGTTACAGATAAATAAGGGGAAAACATAGAACAGACCACAAAAAGTGTAATTCTATATGATCTACAGTTTTCCTAATTCTACATTAGCTTCCTCTATTTTTATGAAAAGGTGAGCAATAAAACATCTTAAGAGGAAGGCAGGTAGGTTCTTGCACCATCGAACTAGTGGGGGATGGGCATCCCTGGGTGCAGAAGATCCTTTGTAGCTTTCTCACTTACATAGGATAAAGAAGTCTATTACTGAAGTTAAACCTGGACATGTTTTTAGTTTATTAAAAATATCAAAAAGTTACGTTCCATATTATCCGATATTCCAAAGGGGACTTAGTTATTCTTCTCCCTTTACCATTTTTAGTTCAAAGAATACCATAAATAGCAATTCTTTTAATTGTTAAAACCTTAACGTGTGATAAATATCCTATGTTGACCATAGCACCTAAGAGGCTTTGGGAAAGGAATATGGTTTATCTTAAAACCAGTAAATTTAAGAATTTAAAAAGCATGGTCCGGTATAGTTCTTTTGGAAGTATAATCTGCTCTGATACTCTTCTCCCACAGCTTGAGTTTTCTAGCATCGCTTCACTAAGCTGTCAGTCTAAGTATCAGCAACCCTCCCTCTATTTCACTCTCAGCTAAAATTAATTTTTAAGGGTTATAATTAAATTAAATTATAATAAAAACTTTCAACTCTATATAAAATACATCATGAAACAAAACTTTCAACATATTTTATATTGAAGATAAACTGAACACAAAACACTATCATTCTTAAAATCCTCAGTTTCTAAAGTAAAAATTTCTTGAGATCAACAAAGGTTTGTAGATTAATAAGTATTTTTGTTATGTTTAAAAATATTCAAAAGGAACATCTTATAAATTGACAAATTTATTGCTTGATAATGCATTTAAAAAACCTAAATAAATAAAATATGCTATAAATAAAAATGATTGTTTTGGAAATATGCATTTATAATCCACTAATGTATAGATTTTCAGACATGCCATCAACTAAAATAACTAAATGGCAAAGAAAATGTGACAAAATGAAAATAATAAAACAATTAAGCTTTATAATAAACTTAAATTCAAGTTTTATCGAGTTCCGTTTTTTCTTATATATCATTTTTATTTTTTACTGTTCCAAACCTTAGGTTAGAATTAATATTTCATTGTTATACAATCTTGTTATTCTTAATGGATTGTCCCAGAATAAACTTATTTTCTACCTATCTAAATTAACATAATTTTCTAGTCATATCTTTCAGGTTCAGAGCCATTTTTTAAAAGTTTTTTATAAAATATTAGGCCAACGTCACCAAATGTACATGGTTTTCACATCATGTATTATTTATTTGACGTTTCAGCTTCAGGAGCCATTTTCAAGATCCTGCAAACATACAAACATGCAAGATCCTGCACTACTTCATAAAATTGCCTAAAATGTATCATTATAATATAATGTCGTTTTTTTTTCAATTCTTTTTCGTAGACGATATTAAAAGTGTTCCTCCTCACTAACACATTTATACAGGACATAATGAATGCATTAGTGAGGAAGAACACTTTTAATATCGTCTACGAAAGAGAAGTGAAAAAACAATATTCGATGAAATAAAAGAATGACAAACCAACATATTATATGTACATTTGGTGACCTTGGCCTAATATTTTATAAAAAAATAAAAATAAATTAATATAATAATAGTAATAATAAAAGGCTTAGCGACACCGAAGGTTCGTTGCTGACACCACTAATCACTCCCTCCACCAGGCACCATCCAAATCCAGTCACAACAGCAATTAAAATGAGATAATTTAATTAAAAATAAACATTATTATTCTAAATATCCATAATATATGCCTCATAAGCCTAATTATGCAAAATAATCAAATTTTGGTCAAATATGTAAAAATAAGCAGCTTAAAATTTTTCCAAAGGATTTAGAAACACTGGTTTCATAAAGTTATTAATTCATGTTTTTGAATTATGAAAAAAATATACCCATAGGATACAAATCTGGGACTTAGTTATTAGTTTATTCATTTAGTCAAGAGTTTTAATGAAGTTTTTATGGTATGTTACAGTTACATTGCTTGTATCCTGTACAAATGCTGCACAATTAAAAGAATCTCTTGACAGTGAAGCTCCAACGTATGCTGATAAGTTCAATGAATTTGACTGGCATATCTCCAAGGTAAATACAATGAATTGAAATATATAATATAAGTATTTATATTAGTAGGAATGTTGGCGGTTCTTCCTTCTTCATCAGATATCCATGGGTAAGTTGGCAATGGCCAATCCTGAGGCGGGTAAGAACTACCTCTTCTCTCCGTGATAGATGTAGACTTTTTCTTGGATATTTAACATATTGTTCAATTTTTCTTCATTTACTTTCTCTCCTGCCAAACCATTGATTTTGCCACTCCAATCATCCTTTTTCATTGATCCAAGATATTAGATTGTTGTGATCACTTATTGAAAATACTTGACCATTTTTAATGCTCGTTTCGCCTGTATGTCTGCATTTTCATTTCCAGGAATTCCACTATGACCAGGTATCCATAAAAACAATACTCTACAACCAGCGTCTTTCAATGTTTTTAATTGTATTTTTATTTCTGAACCGTCTGTGTGGATAAAGATACAATCGGGGTGAATGGCTTTAAAATCGTGGAATTTTTGTGCTATTTCTATTGGGGGTAGATGATAGCTTATGTAGTTATTAATTAAAGCTGGAATAGGTAGCAGCCGTGGTCCTACTTCTGAAAGAATTTGGTTGAATACATTTGGAAAAGGAATGAGTTTCAGATTTTTAATGTATTCAGAACATCTATCAGGAAAAGATGAGCTGTTTGAAGAGCTATTTGGGTGGGCTAGGTTGCCTATATTAGAGAAAAGATTGAAACTCAGTTATTACACAATATTTTTTTCCTGTAACTTTCAGGTGAAAATTATTAAATGTTTAATGCAATATTTAATTATTTAAAACATTTTAGAAAAGGAAGATGAAAAATGTTTTTTTTTTTTTAGTTTGAATAATGTTGTGGATTTGTTGCAAAAAGTCATTAAGTGACATTTCTTAATCTCAAATAATTAAGAACTTTAATTAATTTTTCCATTGTGAAATCAGAAAATTCTGTACTTAGTGTAACTATATGATAAATAAAAAGGTGTGTTTGATTTTCATGCACTTACAGTATTTTTTATATAAATAAATGAGGTCGAAATTTAAAAAAAAACATATTAGAAAGTTAACCTATATCAATAAATGCACCTAGTGACTTTTTTACAATAAACTGATGATGTATTAGGTATATAGTTGAAATAATATCTTTTTTAAGTTAATTGTATAGGAAAACTAAAAATTACACAGAAGGCAGACATGTCAGAAATTAATTCTATCAGTGGAAAATTTTTCTAGACAATGTTTTAAAATTTTAAAGTTAAAATTCTTGTTTTCTTTATATATTGAAATACATACTTACAAAGAATATTTTTAACATGTCATAGTTTATTATATTTAAAATCATTTTTCAGAATGACCTAACATTTAGACTTATAAAAAAATAAAAATAAAACCTAACATTTTGATTTTTATAGGCTATTGGCGGATCAATAAAAAACAATGTGATCCTCTCCCCAATCAGTGTTAAGCTTGTCCTGGCAATGCTCTACGAAGGAGCAAGTGGAACAACAGCTAAAGAATTGGAAGATGTTCTTAAGATCGAGAAAGGACCTGCTCCTGCCCAGAGATTTTCTAACGTTTTGCAGTCATTGCAGGTATACCAGTACTAATTATACTTGTAGTTATAATACTATGATTTTAAATATAGAAAAAATTATTAATATATTTTTTTAAATATTAGAACATAACTTAAAAATACTAATAAATCTTTTATGTTTATATTTCTTGTTAAATCATACCTCTATTTTCCTATAGAGCCAATTCAAATAAATAAATGTGTATTACAACTTATTTTTATTTAAGTGGTTTATTTATACATGACATTGAGGATGGGATCGCCGAACACGTAGGGGCGTGGGTCCCAGAATGCTCGGTTAATTTTCATTTATTGCCCCCCTCCCCCAGGAAATCGATCTTGACATTTCCATTTTGACATGTACGCAGCGGCAACCTCAAGGTAGGCGTCAGAATTTGGCAAAAAGGAACATGATAGAGCCCACTTGGCGGAATAGTTTTCCCGACAGTAGTACACATGACATTATTTTTTAAACAATTTTTTATATTCATATTAAAATGCAAAGAAAACTGAAAATATAATAAAAATACACCTTTAGAACTAAAATTATAATGGATGGTTGTTAAAACCGCACTAAATAATTGGGAGTAAAAAAAAAATGACCATTTCTTTGATATAAAATACAATTAATACTCAAAGGATAGTCCATTGTTATCTACCATAATTAGCCATCTGCTAGCCAATTGCTCGATCCAACGCTAATACCATTCTTTGGGATGACTGTCAAAGAACTCTTGGACCACAATTTCAATTTCTGCAAAATTATCAAATTTTTTCCATTGAAGAAAATGGACCATGGATCTATATAAGTAGTAATCCGATGGTGCGAGGTCTGGACTACATGGTGGATGAGGCAGGAGTTCAAACCCATGAAGTTCTTTAAACTTACCTTTGGTTCGACGGGAAGTGTGAGCACGAACATTATCTTGTTGGAATAAAATTCCTTTTCGGTTGATCATGGTTGCCCACAGCCCTTCTTCCTTTCCAACGTTGTATCTCAACTGCTAAAGTTTTCAAACCAACGAGACAAAGTGCGCTGGTCAAGAACACCTTCCCCTTAATATATAATAATTTCACGAGATACTTCAGCAGCTGTTTTCCAGTAATGCCTTAAAATTAGGAGAATTTCATAGGACACTGTCATGTTTCTTCTTAGATACAAATAACTAAACTGAGAGTTTTTTGAAGAAGTCGAAAGGGATTAAACAAGCTTAGAGAATGCTCTAAAGATATAATTAAGTATTGGTAAGTATTAAAATATTTACAGTCCTTTAAAATCTGGATTTTGATAAAATGGTCATTATTTTTTTTTTTTAAACATCCTTTTATTTTAATTTTTTTTTCCCCAAAAACTCTGACAGGGGCTAATTTAAAATGAATTTTTCTTTCTATTGATACAAAAGAATGAAGTGTCCATGTTAATGTTAGGGCAAATTTAATTTAAATAATTAAAAATATATTATGCAATATAATAAATTTCATAGACTATACACTGATGAGAAATTTCTTCAAAAAAAAAAAATATATATATATTATATATATATATTGGGTTGGCAAATAAGTCCCTGTTTTTCAGGGTGAAATAAAACTCAATATATAATAGACATAAAATTTATTTTAATCACTAATATATTGACCATTATTTAATATGACTTTTTTCAATCTTTCCACTAACTGCATAATGCCATGTTCATAGAATGTCTGGAGTTTATTGTTAAAAAACTAATCCAAGTGGTTTTTTGATGTCCTTTTCCGTTTGGAATTTCTTTCTAATAAGTGGTAGTCACTGAATCACTGAAACCCTGAGGGAGAGGAAGAGGGAGAGAGAATGAGAGAGAATTATATATAAATGCACACATATTATCCAACTCAGTGATCAACTTTAAATTAATTTATCCTATTTATAACAAATTATATGATTTTACTGAGCATTATCTTTTTTCCTGTATCCTGTATACTAACAATACAATATTTTCAGGGTTCGGATTCAGGTTATGAATTGCATGTTGGTATGAAATTGTTCATAGATAAAGAAGCAAAACCTAAAAAAAGTTATGCTGCTAAAATTGCCAATTTATACAATGCAACAATTGATCCAATAAATTTTAAAAATACAGCAGAAGCAGTGGCTCAAGTTAATAGCTGGGCACATTCTGTAACCAGAGGTCATATACAGCATCTTTTAACAGAAGGTGAAATTATCTCATAATTTTTGTCTAACTTAATGGCTCAAAAGTTTATTTTAGTATCAAATATCAATAATTAATAAAAAATATCCATAAACATAGAACTTAATAAGGCATGCCATTAAGATTTTTCGATGTCTGTTGTACATTATAGTAAATCATGAATAAATCATACATTTTATCCATAATTGGTAATTGGTTGACTGTCGTGGATAATGAAGAGAAGAATAGTTGGGGTGCTCAGTCAAAAAGGAAGGCAAAAAATAAATTATAATATTTATTTTTTACTTTTTAAAAAGTAAAAAATATAATTTATTTTTTGCTTTTCTTTTTGACTGAGCACCCCCAACTATTCTTCTCTTCATACATTTTATCATTAATGCCCAATCTTTAGTTACTTATTGTTGATAAGAAAGGCATTATGTATCAGTCTGTAACAAAGATGAATGCAGAGAATTTCCATTTAAATTCTACTAATCCTAATTATTAACAAATAAAGTTTAAAGAGGCATTTGTGAATGTCAGAAAGAAGTGCTGAATTTGAAGGCGATTGAACACACATTAATACTTCAGATTTATACTGAAATACATCCAATTAAAAGAAATAAAATTTGGAAACAATTACATATAATTCAAATTTAGCTTATAAATCAGGATGTTCAGGAAGAAAGTTTATTATAATTTATAGAATGACAGTGTTGTATTGAAATAAGTGTAATTTTTTTGGCATTAAAAAAAATAGTATAAAGATTAGAGCAGATTATATGGTAATTTCATTATTTCATCATATTTTTAATCCAATATATATATATATATATATATATATATATATATATATATATATATATATATATGATTATAAAATGAAGATCAATTTTTTTAAGCAAAAAAGTGAGCATTGGCAAAAAACACAATGCAATAGATTCATTTAAAACTATTAAAATAACAATTTATTCTACCTAATGAAAAATATAAATTTTCTAGCTGATGCACATCACAGCACATTGATGTTGCTGCTTAATGCTGTGTACTTTAAAGGGTTATGGAAGTATCCATTTTTATCGAACAACACTAAAGAAGGAGCATTTATAACAGAAGAAAATGTTCCAGTAAAGGTTGAATACATGAATGGAGTCCAAACACTTTCGTACTATGATTCTCTTGAACTCAAGTCAACTTTTGTTCGTCTTCCATATGTAGTAAGTATTCAAGAAGAGCATAACCATGTTATTTTTCAAATGTATGGCTATCTCTATTATATAGCTCTTAATGTCTCTGATAAAGAGATAGAATAGTACAGTTTCGATTTACTGGGACAATATACGTTTTTCTTAAAGTTTTAGAAAAAAATAAAATTAAACCCAGCCAGCTTAGTGTAACCAATTGATTGAAACAGTCGAGAAACTGTTTTAAAAGTCAAATGATCAATGGAAACACATCATTACTAAGGAAGCGGTATGGCTCAGGGCGGAACTGTTCTATTCCCTTTGTTTGGCTGATAAATATCTCATTAAAAAAATATTGTACCAAGAAATAAGAATTTTTACCAAGAAATAAATTTTATCTTAAATTCTACATTAAAAAGGGAAAAGATGTCTGAAAAATTTCATCACTCATAAATGCCAAGAGATACAATTTAAAATAAAGATCAAATAATTAATTTATTAATAATTGGTAAATGGTTGACTGTCATGGATAATGAAGAGAAGAACAGTTGGGGTGATTCTCCCTGCAACACTTTTGGAGACAGCCCTGATGAAGGCCTGAACTTCAGTCGGAATATTTAAAAATAAATATTATCATTTATTTTTGCCATCTTTTTAGACTGATCACCCCAACTATTCTTCTCTTCATAATTTATTATTAATTATAAAAACAATGTTATTGTAATTTTTTATTTATATATATTTTTTAAATTGGCAATTTAATGTTTCTAGGGAGACAAATTTGCAATGTATATAATTTTACCTGACAAAGGAATAACTTTAAATGAGGTAATAGGAAACTTAACACCCACGAAAGTAAGGTCATGCCTGGATGAGATGATGCAGGTCCCTGTTAATATTTCTCTTCCTAAATTCAACTTTGAATTTGCTAGTTCTTTAGCACCTGCATTAAAGCAGGTAAGGAGTTAATAGATGAATAAAAACTATTAATTAGTTTAAAAATGGATATTTATCGAATACTTTAACATAAGAGTAATAAAACTGTTTTTAGGTAGGCATAAATGAAATATTTTCAAACAAAGCAGATCTGCGAAATATCGCAGAGGGCCCAAGGGATCCAGTGGTTTCCAATGTAATTCAGAAAGCTGCAATTGAAGTCAATGAATTAGGAACCGTTGCTGCTGTTGTCTCAGGTATCATTTCAATTGTATTCCAACAATTACTTTAACTAATAATAATACCATATATTTATTGATAATTTTATCTTCATTAAAATAATGAAGATTAAAGCAAATAGTTTTTGTTGCTGTAAAGACAGTTATAGGTTTTATATAAAATATTATTTCTAATCTAAACATGAAAAAATACAACAATATTACAAGAAAATATTACTAATGTTATATAAACGTCTGCCTAAAGAATCAAATAACAATATCTTAATAACTATTTTATAGATAGTAATATTATATTTGTTTATTGGTTACAGCTATTGAATTGGTGAACAAATTTGGAATGCATACACTTACATTCAATGTATCTCGCCCTTTCATATTTTTTATTGAAGATGAGACGACTAACACTGTGATATTTATTGGTAAAGTGGTGAATCCAGTAGCTCCTGGTAAGCCCATTGTAAGTGCTTCTGTACCTGTAACGACAACTGCTAGTCCACCAACAACTGAAACAACGCAGTACAGTTCATCATTGAAACCAGAAACTACAACTACGTCAGCTACTCCAAACATTGAGCCTGGTAAAACCAACAATACCCTGGGTTAAATAACATTCAGATGGAAGAATGAATGCTTCATGAGTTTTGTCTATGGGCTGTCTTTAACTTCATATATTGAGTAGCATTCAAATTTGATGATTTATCACTTTTATTTTATAGCATGAGGATAAAAAGCATGAATTGAATAATATAAACAATACTGCACCATTTGACACCTGAATGGATTAAATAATATAAAATTTGATCGCACTATTGTTCAGTCCAGCTTCACTTCATTTTCACATAGTTGGGAAACATTTAAATCACTAACAAATCAAATTTCCAAGATGAAGGTTTAAGTTTTATGTTCTATAGCTTTATATTTTATATCATTTATAATGAAACATTTAATTTAAGATTATAAAAATGATATCAATGCTAGAAACATCCGCCCAACTTAACTATTTATTTTATTTTTTTAATGACATATGTTATAAACGTTATTAGTTAGTTTTTAAATTATTTTAATTGTAATAATTGCATTTCTCAAGGAAATAAGATCATTGGTGAAGATCTCATAACTTCATATAATTTTATTATAGGACAGACATGTAGAGTTTAAATGTTCAAGTATTATTTATTAAACTAATATTTTAAATATAAATTATACATTTACATTACTTATCATACACTATAAATAAGAACGACATTAAAATTGTCTTCAACAAAATAATATAGTATTAGCCCCTCCTTATCTATCAGCTCCTTTATCTTGTAATGTTCAGAATAGAATGGCAGAGGATATGGCGAAAAACTTGAAAGCAGGAATGATGGATAGATATATAATATAATTTTATTTTATATAATATAAATATTTTAAAAAATAAAGAAAGAAAAATAAATCTATGCTTAAAATTAATAAAAAAATATAATAACTCTTTTTTACTTTTCAAAAATCAGTAGTTTTTTTAAAGAATAACTTCTTTCAATTCTATATCACTACAATACTTCTCAAGGACTTTGTTCAGAGATATTATACATAAAAAAATAGGGATATTATATATTGAAAAAAATTTAAAATAAGTATATAGACTTATAAAATTAAACTATATGTATAATACTGTTAGTTTAAAATCAACAATTTTATTAGATTGGCAAGTTGAATTCAATCAATGATTTAATTAGTAGCTAAAAAAAAGTTAGAAAAAATATATAATTAAAATATATAAAACAATTAATCCTGAATATCATCTGATGAACGATAATTTTTTTTTTTTAGTCTTACAATTGTTGATGAATTATCTAATCATAAAATTAAAAATAAAAAGTAGTACAAAATTTCATTATTTTATTCGATTCTGAATCATATTTTCAACATGATAAGAGCATATGTTTGCTATTAAATTATACATATTTTATGAGAAGGAGTTAGTCGAGGGTGCGGTCAAATAAATAAAAAATTAAAATATATTAATTAATATATTTTAATTTTTTATTTATTTGACCGCACCCTCGACTAACTCCTTCTCATATTATATCAACGGTCAACCATCTCTACATCATTATAGATATTTTAAAATATAATCCATTTAAATAACACAATAGATGATTCTAATTGTATTTAAGGAGCATTATTAATTAACAATTTTATTGTATTAAATAGTGAGGGAGGAGCAAATTATTGTCTTCATGACAAAAAAAGTGTAAGTTATAGCTAACTGTAAATAAACTTATTTTATAAATTAAATTTTATTAGTGATTGTGACAGCTTTGTATTAATCATTTTTATATAAAAGTATTAGTGAGTTATTGATAATGTTGTTTTGTTTTATTGTTTTTAACATCATATTTTTAAAAGGCATAATTATCATCAAAATGTCTATTCATACATAACAATTATCTATCATGCATTGTAAAATATATATACTAAATAATCATGAAAAAAAAGATGTTCAACACATCATTCAAACCAATTGTCACAAAATTTTTCATATAAGCATTATTCATCTAAAATATTGATGATAGGTAATGAAAATCTCAAAACTCCATCAGTCTAATTGAATTATAGAACTCCATTCTTGTATCTTTATTTAGAAACAGAGATTTTAAAGTACATTAACATCTCTAATTTATAATTAACTATGGTTTTTAAATATATAGTAAAAACTGTAAGAACTAAATATGTACCACTTCAGACTTATTTTTTCTCTTGTAAAATTTATCAAAAGAGAGTTACAAGGTTTTCATCACTGCTAATATATTTTGTGGAACATAAGAACCAAGAAAAATATCTTTTTTATAAATTGTAATTTATCGTAACATGTATCCGAAGTTAAAACATTGTACAATACAAAAAACTTATTGATTTATACTTTATTATTAATAATGTTCCTAAATTTCATGAAAAAGCAGCTCGAACTTTAAAATTAGCAATATTAATGGAACCTCTAGTTGGTTAAAGGATTGGTTTAGTGGCTATAGACTATAGGACAATATAACTCTGAACCTAGAAATGTTACCTAAACAGAACTTATAGAAAAATATCCCTACATATCAAGACTTTCAACTCATAGGTCAGGACCAATTGTTCATATTTTTAATTAAGTTAATGATAGAAAGTCAATAATAAGACAAAGTCAAGTATGTGAATCCAGAGATATATCTTGAAAATATCACATTATTTTTAATCTGTCAACTAAAGAACGACAATATTTCATAATTACATTGCATGTAGAACAAAAGTAACAAAACTAAAAAATTAGAAGCTCATGTAACATTAAAAAAAGGTCTAGTCTTATTTATTAAGTACATGCATATAAAAGTTAGACAGCATCTGAAATTCTGATGTATAACCCGAAAGACATGTAAAATTAAAGATCTCTGAAGGTATATTTCTATTTATAGTTTCTCTGGTATTAGATTTTTACTAAGTCTTTTTACTTTGAATGCTCGGAGAAGGAAATTGAACAAAAATCAGAGAAAATATCTGAAAAAAAAGTTATAAAAACGATGTTCATCCATGAGCTTAAGTGCGTTAGGATTTGTTTTCTTCCTCAAGGGAACATGTAGACCAAAGTCGCGATGGATGGATGGTGTTACTGTTGATGTTCAATCCATATTTGGGATCCAAAACTGGAAGATAGCAGGGAAGAACAGGAATGACTGCAGGTCAAAGCTGCAAGAGGCCTTGTCCCCAAGCAGGACTTAGGGCCATAAAAGAAGAAGAAAAAGAAAGGAGCTTGTGAGCTTATTAAAATTTAATTAGTTTAAGTTTTTCATCTTTGATCATTAAAAGTGCAAAGATGTGTAAATAAAATTAAAATCATGAAAAACAACCTAAAAAGTACACTCGTGCAAATAAACAATTTTTAGCAGCACAAAAATGCCTTAAAACAGTCTATTTGATATGATTTAGATTAAAACCTAACTGGTTAGTGGCTTGTAAAGATGCACTTACACAGTGATCCATATTCTATTAATAACATACACTACGACCAAAAAGATGAACTTTTTCTGTAATTAATATTTATTTGTTTATTTCATTTGTCCTTAAAAAAATTAAAATAGTAAGTTGGCTTTGATTAAGTATACCATCAATATTAAAAATAGTATTGAGATACTCAATATTTTTAATTTAATAAAAGAAATATGTCTAAAGAAAAATAGTAAATTAAAAAATTTTATGAATTTCATTAAACCATTCATCTATGCATGCTGAAAAACATTTGGGTGCTTTTATTGTAAACTAACATAAAAAATGCTTTAAAAAATAGTTCTAACACCTTATTTTATAATTACATCTATTCTAAAATTACTGCTTACAAAATTATCAGAATTTAAAAAAAAAATCTAATGAAGTCATTCTTTCTGTTCATGTTATGAAAATGGACCGATGAATGCTTGAAGATACTTCTGTTTGTAAAAAAAAAAAAAAAAACTGTTTAAAGCACTTTATTATGAGTGAAATAAAGGAAAAATGAATGAGATAACATACAATAGTTTCTGCATAACCCATTTTACAAGGAACACAAGACAAAACGAGTGAAATTGCATAATATGAAGTTTAATAAAAGATAAATTAGTAATTGAAAACCCACAGTCTGAATAGTCAAACGCAAAGCAAATATGTATAGGAAAGTAACCATATTAAAAATAATTGAAATTAATAAAAAAAATATATAAAAAAAAAAATGAAAAAGATATTTATAAAATCTAACTCATTTTTGCAACAGCCCAATATAATCGATAACATTGTCTGACAATAATGTATAATACTATGAACTAATGGGATTAAAATAATTTTCTTGTGATAGGTAACTTCTATGATCGAAACATAAGAACAATGTAAAATAGATGAGCCTTGGAGCAGTTTTAGCTCCCCCGAAGTTGGCATAAGTTATATAAGTTAGTTGATAATAAAAGAAAAAAAATATATATAAATTCATAGAATATTTGTAATAATTGCCTCCACAGTAGTGACAACATAAAAGGTAGGCACCGCAAGTTTCATGAAATTTAAAATGTCTGCAAAGCTAAACAAATTACACAATTTACAGTTTAGATATTGAAATATTTTTACATCGAAATTCCTTTTGCTTAAAAATATGTTGTTTTGTAAAAACATAAAAAAGAATGAAAGTGCTTTTTAAAGAATGAAAGTGTTCTGGGTACCAAATACGGAAAGACAGGCCACAATGTAGCTACAAAAGCAATATTTCAAGCTTCCTTGGGCCACATTAATCTTTCAGGAGATTCTGATTTCCATTATTATTTTTTATAAGCCTAACTGAGAAAATATCTTTAAGATATATTTTTATCCACACCTTATAAAGCAACTGTTAGTCTAAGGACAGTATATTTGCCTGTTGTCCGAGAAAGAATCTTGTTGGTTTCTTAAGTAAAAAGACTAAATACACTTTGTGATTATAGTTTGGTTCCTGATTGGATAAATTGTTACCATTTTCATTGGAAACTTCATTGGAAATAGCTCTCTCTACCTCCAAGCTTTTTTTTTTCATACACATATAAGGATAATTAATTTG